ATGTCACTAGCCCGTCTGGCCATGTCACCGAGGCAGAGATTGTGCCTATGGGGAAGAACTCCCACTGCGTCCGATTTGTACCCCAGGAGATGGGCGTTCACACGGTCAGTGTAAAGTACCGTGGGCAGCACGTAACAGGCAGCCCCTTCCAGTTCACTGTGGGGCCACTCGGTGAAGGGGGCGCCCACAAGGTCCGGGCAGGAGGCCCTGGCCTGGAGAGAGGAGAAGCAGGGATCCCAGGTAAGATTTCTGGGTGAGTTTTGACGAGAGGAAAAATAGGTATGCAGTATACATGTACCCATTGCTCTAAGGAGACGATTTTCAGGGAAATCGCTCACGTATCCAAAGCCAAACAGGCTGAGAGGGATTTTGCTAAGTCTGTAACATTAGTAGGCACTGAGTCTCTTTAAGAGTAGAGCACTGACTGTTTCCAGAGCATTCTTAAGGGCTGATATTCTGGGGAACACACTTGAATACTACAAAACTGATTTGATGGGTCCTTTCCTATGATGGCTGCTGTGGGAAGACGTTGGCGGGGGAAGCCTGAATGTTCTCATCCTTTTCTGTCTTGGATTGGGTATGTTCTGTGGTACTAGATTCTCCATGAACTTCATGATCATTGTTGGTGCTTGAGAAACCATGATGATGGCCCTTGCTTAGAATTACGGGTAGAAAAAAAGCACTGGCAATGGCCTGGGCACTACTGGCTTGAACTAGAAGAGGGGCAGGGGCTCTCGGGCTCGCTCACTAACCAGGTGTTTCTTTGCTCTCAGCCGAGTTCAGCATCTGGACCTGGGAAGCAGGTGCTGGAGGCCTCTCCATTGCTGTTGAGGGCCCTAGTAAGGCCGAGATTACATTTGATGACCATAAAAATGGGTCATGCGGTGTGCCTTATATTGCCCAAGAGCCTGGTATGTACTCAAGGGTTAACTAAGGATGTTTTCCTTGTTTGGAGATGGTTTAGCCACCAGGATCAGAAATCCATCAAGCCAGCTCCAGTAAATGGGAGTTTGCATGTGGGGGCACATGGAAGAGCCTTCTAGAAGCCCAGTTACAGAAAACAGCTAGGCCTCAAAGAGATAAGAAATCTTCTCATCATCTCTGACCTTTTACTCTTGGCCTCTCTGCTTGCTTGCTTTCAAATGCTTCATTCTGTCCACTGACTGACCAGCCCCACTATCTGCCGACACATAACCTGTGGCTGATTCTCCTGCTTTAGGAGAGTGACCTCAACATTTGAGTTCCTGGAATAGTGATTGTCAACTTTTGTGTACCAGAGACCCTTTAGGCATCTGGTAAAACCTCTCTGTTCTCAGGATAATGTTTTGGAGTACACAACATGATTCCATCAAATTATAAAAGAAATCAATTCTAGCAGGGCACAGTGGTGCATGCCTTTAATCCCAGGACTGCATAGTGAGTTTCAGGCCAGTTGGAACTACAGGGAAACTCTGTCTCAAAAAAAAAAATCAATTCTATAAAAAAATCAATTCTATTAAAATACAGTTATCAGAACTGGGTATGATGCCTCATGCCTGTAATCTCAAGATTTAGGAGGCTGAGGCAGAAGGATGTCCATGAGTTTGAGGCCAGCCTGAATTCTGAATTACATAGTGACCTCCACACTGCTGGCCAGGGCTATAGAGACCGACTTATCTCAGATGGATGGATGTTATATGAAACTATAGTTATTAATTGTGTAACAGTGAACTGCACCTGTCTTTATTCTGTTAAAACACAAAATTTGGTGATGGTCCATTGATGACCTTAATTTCAAAGGAGTGATGAGTATAAATGATGTCAGGATATCAATAAAATAAGGTTGCAACTTCTTTTCCTACTCAAGTCCATGCCTGTCATCACTCCCTGTGACGACGCTCACCGCCTCACTGTTATGAGTCTTCAGGTGAGACGCAAGGAAGCATTCATCTCCTTAGCCACAGGCCAACCAGTGAGACCCTGGACTCCTGATGCTGCCTTAATCCTCCCTTGGGTGCCCAGCCCTGGTTGACAGTTGGCACCCAGGTGTTGCCAATCTTGGGGAAAGATGTGTGGCAGGATCACCTCCCCATACCCTGAGGGCAAAAGACAGTGTGAGCAAGCAGAAACATACTAGGTCAGCAAGGCGCACCTTAGCATTCAGGGACAAGTTTGCTTTTCAGTATTTATTCAAGAGAACAAAGGAAGCCTGTTAATCATTAGAGCAGGAGGGCTTTCAAAACAGAGCAGAGCAAACTGACAGCCTAGAGAAAACAACAGCCTGCTGTTGTTGGGTTCCTTTCCCCAAAGTTAACGTCACTGCAGTTTTTTTATTAGAGTGATGTATTTGTGGTAAATGTTCAAGGAGCTATGCTAAGAACTTTATCAGTGTTAGTCAGTAAATCCTTGCAACATCCTGGTGAGTAGTGTTTCGGGCCCAGGAACCAGCTAGTACAAGGTGCCAAAGTAGATCTCTGTTCCCAAAGCCTGTGCTCTGTGCTGGTGACCTCACCTGCCTCACTTTCCCCACTGAGGTGGTGGCAAATAACTGCATAGTTCAGCCTTCTAGGATACCAACAGGTGCACATACACCCCACCCCAAACACACTTAATTCAAGGGTACATTAGCACCAGCACCAAACCAAGAGCGACTGGGGCTGCCTGTGCTCACGACGCTGAAAAATAATTTGGTCGAATTAGAAGCAACTAAGCTATAGAGTAATACCAGAATCTCAAAATGAAATGCCTAGTGAATGGAGTTTCTAAATAGCATTTGGCTGCCCCAGATTCTTGAAAATACTGGGTTAGAATCTAATTTGGAGTCTTGAATTGGTGATAGAGCCACACATTTGGTTTATATTTGATATTCTAATCTTATGCTGAGAGAATTAGACTGCTACTAATTACTCCAAACACGAGTCTTTCAGTGAGAAACCCAGACAGAAACCAAACCAGAATCCCAGCCCACAGATTGAAGAGGCCTCAACTGGAGAGTCCCAGGGTCCTAACTGGTTACTGTGGTGTAGATGTTTTTCTTGTGTTTCATTTAAAGGCTTCTTAACACAAATTTCTTTTTGTGGCCGACTTAACTAAAACCTACGGAGGGAGATAAACCCAGCTTTTGTTGAGGGCCAAGAGCCACCTTTCTGCTTCTCCAAGATTTCTTTTCAGATCTTCGGAGGCATTTATCTCCCTCTTGAGGATTTAGTGGTAAGAGACTCAGGTAACCGGATTCTGCTCAAGAGCTGGTTCTGAGCAAGCCTCTCCAGCAAACCTGCTGAGTCCTCCTGTCAGTTTGTTCTCAAGTATTTCAGGACGTACACAGAAGGCTACGCACCAAACTTCTGCAACCGGCTGCATTGGCAAGTGTGTCTCCCTGGGTCATTCCATGCTGATAAATATGCAGTTATTTATCAGCCTCAGCAGAGGCCTAGACATCTGGTGCTAGTTAGGCTCGAGAAGTGTGCTTTGTTTTATCTTGCTTTTGAGACTTTGTAGAAAATGGGAGTCGGCTGGCACTTTGTGGAGGAGGGTAGAAAATGGGGGTGATCTGGAGATCAAAGAATCCTTAAGTTCGTGTTATGTCCTCCCTCCCTAGTCTGTAACCTTCAGGCAGTGAAGTCCAGTTTGTAGTGGTAGCAATATTGCACATTTCCACAGGGCAGTTTAATACTCAGGAGCCACATGTGGCCCTTATTTTGTTGTACCTCATCCACTGGACCCAAAAAGACCACCGAGGACCCAACACACCAAAATGCAGGAGAGAGAGATGTGGTCCTTAGACAGGCATGCTCAGTCTCACATGGGAATTTCTAGAAATGCTGCATCAGAATCTTAACATGACTCCTTTGCAAGCAAAGTGTGCCTGCTGCTTCAGAAGTCAGCCTGTGAGGAAGGGATGGCCTACCATGTTCAAACCAAAACTGCTGGTGTGTAAAAGCTTCCTGGTCAGGATAGGCGGCCGGTAAGCAATGGGAAGACTTGCTGCTGGTCTTTGTGAGTCTAAGCTCCTCCTCCAAGAATGTAGGTTTTCTAACAAAGGATGAGGGGTGAAACTGACCCAAGGAAGAACAAGGCCACACTTATCCCATTGCTTTTTTCAGGGAGATACAGGCAACTTCTAAACACAGTAATATTTAACAATAGGCTGCCATTTAGGAGCCTTCCCAGGGGGCCAGGCCCTGGGCCGAGTGTTTAGCATAAGTTTGAGTGTTCAGCATAATTTCATGTGCTCTTCATAGCAGCTCTCTGAGATAGAGCCAGTTAGTTTAAACGTCCATTGTATAAACAAGGAAATTGAGAGTCAGATTTAACAGCTTAGTTTTATTGCTAGGAAAAAGTAGCAAAAAGCAAGGTCTAGGTAATTCGCATATCCAGTCCTTTCCAGTTTTACCAGAAGTTCTGTCCCCTACCCTTGATTTAAAAAGAACATAAAAAGGAGTCTTATCATCATCATTACTATTGCTACTATTATTGGCTGGAAGAGTCTGTGTTTTCTGGCCTGTGCAGATCTTTAGGATGATCTGATGATAATCCTCTTGCCTAAGTTGCCTCAAGCCTGCAGCCCCAGGAACCATCTCTCTCAGCCTGAATTGATATGATTTGAGTACAAGACTGCAGCCTGTGTTTCTGTTTTCCTTTGTATTAGAAATGTGGAGGGTAACCCACTTGATTTTGTTGTTTGGTGTTATATGGGAAAATATTCCAGGTCTATTGCATGAGAATTGTCACCCGGATTCCTACATTGAGTCAATGTGTGCCGCTGAGAAGGAACTCCAAGTGCCATAACCTGCCTAATTTATTAAATTCTCAGGAATCAGGATTAAAGGTTAATCAGCCAGCATCCTTTGCTATAAGGTTGAATGGTGCGAAAGGAAAGATTGATGCAAAGGTGCATAGCCCCTCGGGAGCCGTGGAAGAATGCCACGTGTCTGAGCTAGAGCCAGGTAAGCAGGGGGTCTGGCACGGGGGTGGGGGGTGGAACTCCCTGCAGCTGTGCCTTCCGGGGAAGGAACTCATCAGCCACAGCACTGCCAGTCTTCAGTTCTCTTCACTCCTGCCAGACACTGTTTATAAATTAGGATTGAAACGTTTGCCAGGAACGCGGAGACTTCTTACTGTGACATATAATACCCCGTCCTCTCCTTTCTTTGAGTAGCTTCTACTTTATTTTCTGTTGCTTTTTCAGAGTCCTTTTACATGACATTCATCACAATTTTTTTCAATCGTATTTTAGCAAAATCTTAGTTTTATTATATTGCTGACTTTATGACATAGGTAAGGACATTTTGATCTTACTTTACTCTGAGAGAATCTCGGTCTCTAGGGCTTAATAATCTCAGATTTATGGAACTCTGTCAATCAATTTTAAAGAGATCATTTTCTCAGTGGATGTTTACTATGTGTTAGAGACTTGGCAGAAAGGTGAAGTGTGGGAATTCACAATTCTGCCCTCAAAACGCTGCTCATGTTGCTGCATGCCTATGATCTCAGGACTTGGAAACAGAGGCAAGAGAACTGCAAATTCAAGGCCGGTCTGGACTATATAATAAGACCCTGTCTCAAAAAAGTCAACAAGCCTGGAGAGATGACTCAGCCGTTAAGAGCTCTGGCTACTCTTTAAGAGGACCCGAGTCCAGTTTCTAGTGCCCATGTCAGACAGCTCACAACTGCTTGCAACTCCATTTCCAGGGAATCTGACCCTCCTCTGCCCTCTCTAGGCACCTGTACGCATGTGTGCACGCAAACACATACACACATGCAGATGAATAAATCTTTCAAAACTATAATTAAAAAAAAGGCAGCTGCTTAGAGCTGTTGAGAATGCAGCCAGCAGTGGAGATGACCCTAAGTAACACCACAGGAAAACTAAGAAGCAGATGGTGGAGATTTCAGAGCAGGAGGAAAAAAACACCTTTTTGCCTTGGCAGGGTCAGGCGGGCTTCCCAGAGGAGGCATCATTCAGTGTGGGCTTTGACGCATGAGAAAGTAACCTGCTATGTGTTCACCTCTGTATCCCGTGAGGGTGGAAATCCAGAGCAGTGGGTGACCATGTGTTTCTCACCAGGCAGAAAGGACAAGGAAGGCTCAGAAAGAGTGATGTGGGAGGCGTGGTGCATTGACCAGATTTAACTAACATCTGGTCACCTCACTGAGAATATATCAGAACATTTGACAGGCAGAGTGCTGAGCTGCTGCCCTTGAGAAAGCCGATGAAATCGCAGCCCTGAGGATGGAGAAGGCTGACTTGAAGCCACAGATTCTTAGTACTTCTGGTGACCAGTTGGCCTTGGGCTCGAGAGTGAATTCTGAAAGGTGACGTGGAAGGCCTCGGGAGATGGCTCAGTCAGTAAAGAACTTGCTGCACAAGCATGAGGACCTGAGCTCAGTCCCCAGCACCCACATAAAAAGCCAAGAGCATGACTGCAACCCCGTTACTGGGGAGGCAGAGATAGGAGGGTCTTTGGAGCCTGCTAGCCAGTCAGTCTAATCAGATCAGTGAGCTCTGGGTGCAGTGAGAGACCCTGTCTCACAAAAAATAGGATGGAGAGACACTGAAGACATGCAGTGTCGACCCCTGGCTTCCAGACTGCACCCACACCCACACCCACATATGCGTGCACAGCACGGGAACACTGGATGAATGGGTAGGATGGTAGTGATACGGTTAGCAGAACTGAGGACAGCTGACTTTTTTCAATCCTATTTTAGCAAAATCTTAGTTTTATTATATTGCTGACTTTATGACATACGTAAGGACATTTTGATCTTACTTTACTCTGAGAGAATCTCAGTCTCTAGGGCTTAATAATCTCAGATTTATGGAACTCTTTCAATCAATTTTAAAGAGATCATTTTCTCAGTGGATGTTTACTATGTGTTAGAGACTTGGCAGAAAGGTGAAGTGTGGGAATTCACAATTCTGCCCTCAAAATGCTGCTCATGTTGCTGCATGCCTATGATCTCAGGACTTGGAAACAGAGACAAGAGAACTGCAAATTCAAGGCCAGTCTGGACTACATAATAAGACCCTGTCTCAAAAAAATCAACAAGCCTGGAGAGATGACTCAGCAGTTAAGAGCTCCGGCTACTCTTTTAGAGGACCCGAGTCCAGTTTCTAGTGCCCATGTCAGACAGCTCTCAACCGCTTGCAACTCCATTTCCAGGGAATCTGACCCTCCTCTGCCCCCTCTAGGCACCTGCACTCATATGTGCACGCGAACACATACATACATGCAGATAAATAAATCTTTCAAAACTATAATAAAAAAAATAGGCAGCTGCTTAGAGCTGCTGAGAATGCAGCCAGCAGTGGAGATGACCCTAAGTAAAGCCACAGGAAAACTAAGAAGCAGATGGTGGAGATTTCAGAGCAGGAGGAAAAAAAGCACCTTTTCGCCTCAGCAGGGTCAAGAGGGCTTCCCAGAGGAGGCATCATTCAGTATGGGCTTTGATGCATGAGAAAGTAACCTGCTGCTGTTAGACATTTGCTATGTGTTCACCTCTGCATCCTGTGAGGGTGGAAATCCAGAGCAGTGGGTGACCAAGTGTCTCTCACCAGGCAGAAAGGACAAGGAAGGCTCAGAAAGAGTGGATGTTGGAGGCGTGGTGCCTTGACCAGATTTAACTAACATCTGGTCACCTCACTGAGAATATATCAGAACACTTGACAGGCAGAGTGCTGAGCTGCTGCCCTTGAGAAAGCCGATGAAATCGCAGCCCTGAGGATGGAGAAGGCTGACTTGAAGCCACAGATTCTTAGTACTTCTGGTGACCAGTTGGCCTTGGGCTTGAGAGTGAATTCTGAAAGGTGACGTGTAAGGCCTTGGGAGATGGCTCAGTCAGTAAAGAACTTGCTGCACAAGCATGAGGACCTGAGCTCAGTCCCCAGCACCCACATAAAAAGCCAAGAGCATGACTGCAACCCCGTTACTGGGGAGGCAGAGATAGGAGGGTCTTTGGAGCCTGCTAGCCAGTCAGTCTAATCAGATCAGTGAGCTCTGGGTGCAGTGAGAGACCCTGTCTCACAAAAAATAGGATGGAGAGACACTGAAGACATGCAGTGTCGACCCCTGGCTTCCAGACTGCACCCACACCCACACCCACATATGCGTGCACAGCACGGGAACACTGGATGAATGGGTAGGATGGTAGTGATACGGTTAGCAGAACTGAGGACAGCTGACTAGAGTGTATAAGGGTTGGTCAGGGATTTAAAGAATGTGCTGCTTTCTTTTGGGTCTTTTTGAGACAGGGTTTCCCTGTAGCCCCAGCTGGCCTAGAACTCACTATGTAGACCAGGCTGGCCTTGAACTCAGGAGATCTGCCTGCCTCTGCCTCCCAAGTGCTGGGATTAAAGGCGTGGGTCACCACGCCCGGCTAAGAGTCTGCTTCTGTAGAGGGCTGTTGGAGTATCTCCCAGATAGCCAGGTGGCTGTGTTTATTAAATCGCTATGGCACTGAACTAAGCAGCAGGTAAAGTTTGATGTCAGTCCAGGCAGCATTTGAGGCCCTAGTGGTACCCAAGATGACTAGCAAGATCACTATCATTAGGATTGACTACAATTATAGAATTCCCTCAAGCCAATATATGCAATAATGAAGCCCAGTAATTCATATAATTAGAAAGTTCAGGGTCTAAGGCAGTTTTTTTTTTTTTAAATTGGTCTTTTGGAGACAGGGTCTCCCTGTAGCCCAGCTGGTCTGGAACTTGCTATGAAGACCAGGCTGACCTCAAGCTCACAGAGATCTGTCTACCTCTGCCTCCCAGTGCTGGGATCAAAGGTGTGTGCTACCACACCCAGCTCTAAGGCAGATTTTTAACAATGACTGATTCAGCCATTTGCAGGGGTTGTCCAAGGACCTAAAGGCCTTTATTTTTGTTATTTTGCTTTACTTTTTGTTTTGTGAGACAGGAGCTCTCTGTGTAGCCCAGGCTAGCCTGGTACTCAAGATCCTTCTGTCTCACCCTTCAAAGTGCTGGGATTCCACACGTGCCATTAGGCCCAGCAGACCTCTTTACTCTTTCTTCATTTCAAGGCTGGCCTTCCTCTCTGGTAGCAAGTTGGCTACAGCGGCACCTGCCTTTTCATCTTCATACCACATCTGTCAAGAAACATCTCAGGATTTGCTTTCAGAAGTCTTGAGAGACCAGAAGTCTAAAAGTCTCCAGCAAGCCTCCCCTCCTGTCTTAATGAACTGGGATGCATGCCCATTCCTGAGTCACTTCCTGTGGCTAAAAAGTGAATTGATTTACCTTGGGGAAAGAATTTTCCCTATCCTCTGAGGGACCACACCTGGACAGGGGCGTGGGGTCCACTTCCTGAAGCATGTTGGATGTGAGGGAGTACTGAAAGTACCAGAAAAGAAGAAAAGAGTTTGAGGTGTGGCGCTTTGAGGGACATACTTAATTCCAAAGGAGATAAAGGGTACAAGGAGCCAGGGAGGGGCTGAGGGACCCTGCAAGAAGAGTCCAGGCATTCACTTCCATTGACAGATGACCTCACCTCATGTTATGACCCAAAACAGAAAAGAAAAACAAAACTGGCCGTGGCTCTGTGGGACGTTGCTTGCCTTGAGCTTAATGACAGAGCCTTGATGCCAGTTGGAACTATATTTTTTTCCCTTCAAGTGGCCAAACAGGGAAACATGGTGAGAGAAGTGAACTTTTCATAAAGGGTGGATTGTGAGGCAGGGGCCCAAATGTAGAACAGAATTAGAGATTCGGAGCGGTTCCTGAAGGGCTGATGAGGGACACACAAGTAAGCCCATCTGGCCTTGAAATCTACGTGTCAGCTGCCAGGCTCCCAACAGAACCATGTCTTTAAATGATTCAATGCTGGCCAGCTCAGATTGGCCTAGAGTCCTGTGTCCTCACCTAACTCCAGGCTGTTCACCGCCCACATTTATCATGTGCCTCTGCTCCTTCTCCTAGATAAGTATGCTGTCCGCTTCATCCCCCACGAGAACGGCATCCACACAATCGATGTCAAGTTCAATGGGAGCCATGTGGTCGGGAGCCCTTTCAAAGTTCGAGTTGGGGAGCCTGGCCAGGCAGGAAATCCTGCCCTGGTGTCTGCCTACGGTGCAGGGCTTGAAGGGGGCACCACAGGTAAGACAGTGCTGCTTCTCCTGGATACCCGAGCTGCTCTGGGGCAAAGCTGGATAGACATCTTCTAGCCCCTGAAGGCTTTTTGTGCTCTCTCCTTGAGAAAATGCAGGCATGAACTTTGGCAGGCTTTGAGAGCCCTGGTTGGAACTGTGATAAATCCAGAGTGAGGGCCGTGTTGTCACACCTCACTACTGTTTACTGTGGCCCAGATGTCTTCCTTCCACAAGTTCTTCAGCCCAAGGGGCAGGACAGTGACAGCACAGTGACATTAGTTTTGAGGGTTTTATTTGATGGTGTAGCTCCTGGGCCTCCAGGGAACCTGCTCCCAGTCTCTTGGTGTCTGGGCTCCCAGAAACATACTGAAGCAGCACAAGGCCTCCTGTAGCTTGTCATCCCCTTGTGTTCACTGGTGACCTCTCACCACAGAGGGGATGAGGCTGAAAGGATACAAGAGTGCTGAAGCTTTGTGGATCTGTTACAGCCCCTCCACCCCTTTGCTCTGCCTCCTTTGTGAACACTGTTGGCCAGTTACCCAGTCATAAAGGCCCTCCCCCTCCTTGAGGCTGTCCCACTTCCTGCCTGTCTCTGGGAATCCCTGGTGCTAGGTGGCCATGTCAGATGGCTGTTTCCTTGACAAGCTGGCTCAGTTCTGCTTTGATTTTTGTGGAAGTCATCTCATTGCACAGATAGGCTGATGGACAGCTTGTCTTTTCATCTGACATGGGAAAGATCTATCTTTGTGAAAGGCCACAGCTCTGCCCCTTTTCTACTGGCTGGTTGGCTTGCATAGCTTGAACCATAAGCCACTTGTGTGGTCAGGTAAAGCTAGACCTCAGCTGTGTCCAGCACATCAGTGTTAGGGATGGTGGGGAATCTGTCCTTATGAGTATCTGCAGAGAAAAGTCTACCAGATAAGACACTGTTTACATTTGCTGTTATTGGGACCCCTTGGGAAGGTCCTGGTTTCTCAAGCCTGCTCTTAATCTCTCTGCTGCCCCCCTATACTGTACTGTGAGTGGGACAAAGCAGACTGTCTTCCCCATGCACCAGGGGATGAGTTGCCATGGTTACAGTAAACCCAGCCCTGGAATGAGAGAGTCCTAAGTGGTAGAGGAGCCCTGTCCAGGAGTGGCCAGTGGACTGGCATGTTGCCAGGAAGTCTGGCCAAAGCAGTGGCCTCAATGAAACCACCCCCACAGTGGCATCAATATTGCCAGATGCCCCTGGCACACCCAACCTGGCTCCCTACCTCACTGTGGGCCAACATCTTGCCCTTGGATGAGATCTGCTTTGCAGACAGGAAAAATGAGACTCGGTGGTCCAACACTCTCCACACCCACTCTCCACACACCACCTGGTTCATAGAACCAGGGGGTCAGTGCAGGTCGGTGACCCTGCAGTCTGAGGCCCTCACTCCTTGTCCCTAAATGACTACTCACTTAGAGGCACATACTGCACCCCAGGCTGCTTTTTGGGGTGTCCTACACCAGAATCTCTGTCTTTCAGCTGCCCAAAATGCTTTCAGTGGTGCTAGCATGAAGCCATTGGCCAACTACCCACCAATAAAGGCTCAGTGGGGCCCTCCTGGCAGTTGAGCAGACAGCAGGCCTCTGCCCTGGTTCATAGTAGCCTGGGGACCTGCTACACCAGCCAGGAGCCATCTGATCCCATTGGCTGTAGCTGCCCCAGCTCTCTTCCACTTCCTCTTGGTAGTTCTCACCCTTCTGCAGAGCTCAGATGTCAGGCTGTGTTCTGGCAGCCTGGCTGCTGGGAAGGAGTGAGACTGGTAGAAAGGCCCCCAGCCAGGGGAGAGGCCCAGAACGTGCTTGCTTCTACCCTTCGTAAATATTGTTCTGTTCATAGAGAAGGAGTCTGGTTTTCTTAGCCCGCCTGTCCCCATCCTCTCCCTAAGTAGCCATCCAGAGATGACACAGCTGCAGTGGAAGGGAATGTTCAAAAAGGGATTTACTAAGCCACCAAAAGGCCAGGCATCCTGACTGGAGCAAAGCTGACGTGCCTGTGATAGATTGGGGCGTGCTGTGGGCCAGGTGTGCTGTTGGCTAAGCTCGCTGTAGGTCTTGACTCACTGTAGGTCTTGCCTCAAGCTTTACCTGCTCTGTTCTCTGCAAATCTAGCAGGAGGGAATGTGGAGAAGTTGGGTACAAAGTTGCACAAAATTCCAGGCCATATAGAGCAGCCATGGGGGTTTCATGGGGATGTGGGAGGACAATCATGCTGAGAGACAAGTTTGATTATCATAACACATACTGGTTATAGAGGGAGGTGGTGTTAAGAGACATCTCTTTGCATGTGGGTTTTTTCTCTGTCTTCTCTTGGACAAGTCCCTTAGCAACAAGGGGGGCAGATTTTTATGTCTAAATCCCACTCCTGCTAATCCCCAGTTGTAGATGTTATTTGGCCTCCTAAACTTCCACTTTTTTTCTGTGAAGATCACCGCCCATTTAATTTTTTTTTTTATTATTATTTTCATTGCCTGCGTGTATGAGTGCACCCATGTCGTGCAGTGCTGTGGAGGTCAGAAGAGGGCTTTGGATTCCCCTGGAACTGGGGTCAAGGATGGTTCGTAGCCGCCATGTGGGTGCTGGAAATTGAAGCCCGGTCCTCTGCAAGAGCAGTCAGTGCTCTTAACCTCTGAGCCATCTCTCCAGCCCCTGATCACCGTCCCTTTAACAGGCTTATTCTAAGTGTTTCCCGAGGTATCAGGCAGCTCTTGTCCTGTAATTCTTAATTTCCTTTTTCCTACCTCATCTCTGCATTTTCAGGTTCTGGTGGTTTGAATGAGTTGATTGTTTAAAAGGGGCGGAGCTTCTTCCTGCTAAGGCCAGCCAGGTCTTTTCAACTTCACATTCAATTCCTCTTTCTCACGGGCAGCCACTTCCCGGACATGCTGCCCCCTTGTGGCTCAGCATCCCAGTTCCCCACCCAGCCCCCAGCCTCCACAGATGCTGCTGGAGACATATCTCAGATACACATATTAACTCTTAGGCTGTGCTCAGATGGTTGCTTCCTTGACAAGCTGGCTCAGTTCTGCTTTGATTTTTGTGGAAGTCATCTCACTGAACAGATAGGCTGATGGACAGCTTGTCTTTCACCTGACATGGGAAAGATCTATCTTTGTGAAAGTCCACAGCTCTGGCCCTTTTCTACTAGCTGGTTGGCTTTCATAGCTTGAACCAGAAGCCACTTGTGTGGTCAGTTAAGCTAGACCTCAGCTGTGTCCAGCACATCAGTGTTAGGGATGGTGGGGAATCTGTCCTTATGAGTATCTGCAGAGAAAAGTCTACCAGATAAGACACTGTTTACATTTGCTGTTATTGGGACCCCTTGGGAAGGTCCTGGTTTCTCAAGCCCACTCTTAATCTCTCTGCTGCCCCCCTATACCGTACTGTGAGTGGGACAAAGCAGACTGTCTTCCTCGTGCACCAGGGGATGAATTGCCATGGTTACAGCAAACCCAGCCCTGGATTGAGAGACTCCTAAGTGGTAGAGGAGCCCTGCCCAGGAGTGGCCCGTGGACTGGCATGTTGCCAGGAAGTCTGGCCAAAGCAGTGGCCTCCATGAAACCACCCTCACAGTGGCATCAATACTGCCAGATGCCCCTAGCACACCCAACCTGGCTCCCTACCTCACTGTGGGCCAACATCTTGCCCTTGGATGAGATCTGCTTTGTAGACAGGGAAAATGAGACTCCATGGTCCAACACTCTCCACACCCACTCAGCTTGAAGTTCATAGAACCAGGGGGTCAGTTGCAGGTTGGTGACCCTGTAGTCTGAGGCCCTCACTCCTTGGCCCTAAATGACTACTCACTTAGAGTCACATACTGCACCCCAGGCTGCTTTTTGGGGTGTCCTATACCAGAATCTCTGTCCTTAAGCTGCCCAGAATGCTTTCAGTGGTGCTAGCATGAAGCCATTGGCCAATTACCCACCAATAAAGGCTCAGTGGGGCCCTCCTGGCGGTTGAGCAGCCAGCAGGCCTCTGCTCTGGTTCATAGCAGCCTCGGGACCTGCCACACCAGCCAGGAGCCATCTGATCCCATTGGCTGTAGCTGTCCCAGCTCTCTTCCACTTCCTCTTGGTAGTTCTCACGCTTCTTCAGAGCTCAGATGTCAGAGGCCTGGCTGCTGGGAAGGAGTGAGACTGGTAGAAAGGCCCCCAGCCAGGGGAGAGGCCCAGAATGGGTGCCTGCTTCTACCCTTCGTAAATATTGTTCTGTTCATAGAGAAGGAGTCTTGTTTTCTTAGCCCGCCTGTCCCCATGCTCTCCCCAAATAACCATCCAGAGATGACACAGCTGCAGTGGAAGGGAATGTTCGAAAAGGGATTTACTAAGCCACCAAAAGGCCAGGCATCCTGACTGGAGCAAAGCTGACGTGCCTGTGATAGATCGAGGCGTGCTGTGGGCCAGGTGTGCTGTTGGCTAAGCTCACTGTAGGTCTTGACTCACTGTAGGTCTTGGCTCAAGCTTTACCTGTTCTGTTCTCTGCAAGTCTAGCAGGAGGGAATGTGGAGAAGTTGGGCACAAAGTTGCACAAAATTCCAGGCCATTTGGAGCAGCCATGAGGGTCTCATGGGGATGTGGGAGGACCATCATGCCGAGAGACAAGTTTGATTATCATAACACATACTGGTTATAGAGGGAGGTGGTGTTAAGAGACATCTCTCTGCATGTGGGTTTTTTCTGTCTTCTCTTGGACAAGTCCCTTAGCAACAAGTGGGGCAGACTTTATGTCTAAATCCCTCTCCTGCTAATCCCCAGTTGTGGATGTTATTTGGCCTCCTACACTTCCACTTTTTCTGTGAGATCACCACCCATTTAATATATATATATATATATATATATATATATATATATATATATATATATATATATATATATATATATATATATATATATATATATTTTTTTTTTTTCGTTGTGTGTGTGAGTGCACCCGTGTCGTGCAATGCTGTGGAGGTCAGAAGAGGGCTTCGGATTCCCCTGGAACTGGAGTCAAGGATGGTTCGTAGCCTCCATGTGGGTGCTGGGAATTGAAGCAGGAACAGTCAGTGCTGTTAACTGCTGAGCCATCTCTCCAGCCCCTGATCACCGTCCCTTTAACAGGCTTATTCTAAGTGTTTCCCGAGGTATCAGGCAGTTCTTGTCCTGTAATTCTTAATTTCCGTTTTTCTACCTCATCTCTGCATTTTCAGGCTCTGGTGGTTTGGATGAGTTGATTGTTTAAAAGGGGCAGAGCTTTCTGCTAAGGCCAGCCAGGTCTTTTCAACTTCACATTCAATTCTTTCTCACCTGCGGCCACTTCCCGGACATGCTGCCCCCTTGTGGCTCAGCATCCCACTTCCCCACACAGCCCCCAGCCTCCACAGCTGCTGGAGAGATATCTCAGATACACATATTAACTCTTTGGCTGTGCCGGGGTTGAGATAGTAGGGAGACCTTGGAACAGCAGCCTCGGGAGCTCCCAGAAACAGCTGGCTTGCATTTAGAGGGTCACACCATAGCAGCTCTTTTGCCTTATTGATAACCAAAACTAATTCTTTCTCTGGCCCAGGAGCTATAATTAAACCAAAATATTTCCCAGCTGGGTTGGCGTCTGGGGCTCTAGCAGAGGCAAAATGCTGCTAGAGGATACTGCACCAGGGCAGCCCCTAAAGGGCTTGTAGCAGATAGAAGCTGCTGACACCCAACACCCCAACATCCCCCACTAACCACCTAGTACTCCTCTGCAGGCATGGGGACTTTGAGAAGAGCCCTCTTTGATAATTCCCTTTTGTCACAAGGCAAAATATCTGAAAAGTCAGGTGTCTCGGGGCCACAGTTAGGGTGTTTATGCAGCACCCCCCCCCTCCACTTCCATCTGGTGACTGCTGTGGCCTAGGCACCAGAGTTGTACAAGAATGGTTTGGACACAGCTTACCACTTTCTGCTGATGCACCTTGACAGGTACATGGCCTGCCTCACTGTCATTTGAGGAACAGAAGTGCTGTGGTAGAGTGGTGTATGGCCCAGGGTCTGTTGTGGTGTTCAGTCAGCAGGAGCTGCTGTTTAGTTCCTTCTCTAGTTGCTGGTATTCATGGCATTGTGGGTGGGCTGGCAGCTTGTTGCACCAGCTCCAGGCTTCAGCAGTGTCTAGGGTGAGGAGGAAGGGAGGAAAAACTTAAAGCCACCTCAGCCTCTCCAAAGTCCTCCCAGAGAAGAAGGGAAAGGTCAGAGTGGCCCATGCCTTCCCTCTCTCCTAGAGGCAGAGCTGGGCTCTGGTGGTTGGAGCAGCACTGTAGGTTCACAGTGACAACTTGGGCTTCTTGCCCTCAGCCACATTCCAGAGAGAATAAGGTTGTCCAGGCTCGTGGGCGAAATGTCAGCCACACTCCTGACCTAGCCTGGAGAAAGGAGCTGCCACCTCCCACAGCCTGTGCTTTTCTTTGCCAAGAACTCAAAGCAAGTACCAGTTGGTTCCCAAGCTACCACAGCAAACATTTCGTGAGGGGAATTCTGTGTGCCTCTCCCACCGCCGCTTCAGCTTCCCCAGGAAATCCCAGGACCATATGCCTTATCCCTCTAAACTATATATGTGTGTGTGTATATATATATGTATATGTGTGTGTGTGTATATATGTATATGTGTATATATATATATATCTCGCCCTTCTTTCCCAGGTATCCAGTCTGAATTCTTCATCAATACCACCCGAGCAGGCCCAGGGACATTATCCGTCACCATTGAAGGCCCTTCCAAGGTCAAAATGGATTGCCAGGAAACCCCAGAAGGGTACAAAGTCATGTACACACCTATGGCCCCTGGAAACTACTTGATCGGTGTCAAATATGGTGGGCCCAACCACATTGTGGGCAGTCCATTCAAGGCCAAGGTGACAGGTAATGATGACCTGCTCTTCTGGAGTTACTCTTCTGTCCTGTGGAGCTGTTCTCATCTGATTACCAATGGTAGCAACTGAAGGTGATTTTAGATATGTTAAGTCCACATTTAATCTTGAATGTAAAGAAATGGTATTGTGGGGCTAGACAAATGGCACAGCAGTTACAAGCATGCGTGCTCTTGTAGACGACCCACGCTCAGATCCCAGCACCCACATCAGGCAGCTCACAATCACCTGTAACTCCAATTCCTAGGAATATAACACCTCCATGGGGACCTGTACACACATGGTACCCACAAACTTAGGCATACACACACATAAAATAAGTAAATAAATAAATCTTTAAAGAAATAAAAAATGGTATGTCCAAAACCAATATGTTTCAGACTTGGAAAAATCTTTGCGGGAGATAGTGGAGAGGTGGAGAAAGGGTATACTAGATATTTTTCTGTCTGTAGCAGAAAAAAAGTATTTATACACTTGAAATCACATGGACTTGCTTAATCAGGGCCTTATTTCCAATCTTCACTTTCATAATGATGATATTCTATAAAATTTATAATAATATGCCTTCTTCAGAATACTAAAATACCAAACAATAAAAACTTCACAGCCCGCCACCTGACAGTAACCACCATATAAACAAAAAGATGTGAATTCCAGCAGCTGGTGGGTCTTTTCGTAGCAGGAATTTCTAGGCATTGGCAGCCATGGCTGCACAGCTTCATTTGCCCACAAATCCAGATCCAAGTTGTCTAGGTCAACCCCCAGGGATTTAGAAGACATGGCTTAGTGATGTATACCTATAACCCAGCACTCAGAAAGCTGAAGCAGGGTGGACTGCAGGTTTGAGCCCCGTAGTCCACATAGTGAGACTCTGTCTTTAAAAAATAAATAAATAAAATGGGAGCCAGGCACAGTGGCACACCTCTGTAATCCAAGTTCAGGAAGTAGAAGAAAGAGGACAAGCTTTGACCCTGTCTTAGAGGTGAAAAAAGATGAATACTAGATTGCTTGCCTAGCATGTAAAATACTCTGGGTTTGAACCCTGATATCACAAGTCTATATACAAATGTGAGATACTGGTACAGTAGCTTTTATATACAGGTATTGGAGCTTTTCTAGGGCTTTTGCAAGGGGTGCCAGCTGTCTCCTGACTGACAAGACCCCTTTAGTCTGGCTGTTCATGCCTTTCTTTTCCACATCCTAGGCCAGCGTCTGGTTGGTCCAGGCTCAGCCAATGAGACCTCATCTATCCTGGTGGAGTCAGTGACCAGGTCTTCAACAGAGACCTGCTATAGCGCCATCCCTAAGTCGTCCTCAGATGCCAGCAAGGTGACCTCCAAGGGAGCAGGGCTCTCCAAGGCCTTTGTGGGCCAGAAGAGTTCCTTCCTGGTGGACTGCAGCAAAGCCGGTAGGCATTATGGGCCTGCTGGGTAGGGTGGGTTTAGAGGCTGGTACAGACCAGACATCTTTGCCCATTTTGGTATTTCCCTCTAGGGTCTTCTGTAGTGTCCACCCACCATCAAGTAACCATGTTTCTTCCTCTGCTTTCCTGGGCTTAATAATTTTAAATGATTTTCCTTTTGCCTCTTGATTCTTGACCAAGGAGGAAGATGGAAAGCTTGTAATGTCCCATGACACGGGCAAGCAGAACTGATTACCTGAACTCTTCTCTGACACCAGTTGCTTTCACTGTAGTTTGAACTTGGATTTTAGTAGTCACTTGCCTGGTTCTGGCATCCAATACACTTAGGCTGGAAACTCAGCCCTGCCAATTCATTCATTTACAAAGCTTTTTGGACAGTGCCTTTGGGCAAGCTAACCAAATCTAAAAGTCCCCCAAATGGGAAGCATAGTAATACTTAAGGTTCTTTTGAGAATATACAAGAAAATCCTAACAGCTGTCAGTGCTTTAGTGCTGTGTGCTAAGGACTTGGCTCGGTCAGTTCTGTGACATACACATAAGCTAAAGAGAGGGGAGGTACTGTAGCTCCCTGGTTTGCAGCTTAGGTGGCAAGAAGGAGTTCTACATCCAAAGTCACTAAAGCAGGAGGTGGCAAAGCTGGGATTTGAACCCAAGGCAGACTGTCTCTGCTGGTAATGGCCGTGCTCTGCCACCTGTCAAGGGGCCCGGGTGTCATCAGGAGGAGCTCAGGCAGCAGTCCCCAGCCTCCATCATTTTGTCACCCACATCCCCCCACCCCTCATTCTGACCTGACTCATCTGGTCAGTAACAACCATCTTCTCCCTTAGGGTCCAACATGCTGCTGATCGGGGTCCATGGGCCCACCACCCCCTGTGAAGAGGTCTCCATGAAACATGTGGGCAGCCAACAGTACAACGTCACATATGTCGTCAAAGAAAGGGGGGATTATGTTCTGGCTGTGAAGTGGGGGGAAGAGCACATCCCTGGGAGCCCCTTTCATGTCACGGTGCCTTAAAACAGCTTACATCCAATCCTTGGAGGAATTCTTCCGGTTGCTTTTGTTGCTTGTTTGTAATTCATTTTATACAATGTCCTCAGCCCATCAGTGGGCCCCAAACCCCATCCCCAAACCTTGCCATTCAAAGTGCCTTTAGAAGTCCTAGACATGACTTTTGAGGGACATGTGGGAAATCCTAAGAAATGCAAACTAGACTAAGAAGGTGCGGGGTATTCTGCCCAAATCAAGACTCTTGAATGCCCAGGTCACTACAGACCAAGACATGGGCAAGACTGACACTTCTGGAAGATGAACCAGCTCTCCTAAGCTACTGATCCACTCTTGAGCATTAATGGACTGGGAGAGGGGACTTGGTTTAGGTTGTCATTAGCAAAGAAGATGGCTTGAACCCCATCTCACCCTTTCCAGGGCCCAGGCTCTGTCAGCAGAGGCTGCTAAGTGCCTGCCATCGTTCAGACACTACTTCCCAACCTCTTGTGCACTATGGCCTTCCAGCAGTTCCTCAAGGGCAGAAAGCACTGTGGCAAATGACTTTCCAGCGCCCCTGGCTGGCTTCTAGTGACTATTTCCTTGCAGTTGGTATGACCACCTTGGCATCCGTGGGTCTGCTTTGATTTTCCAAGTCTATTTTAGTTACTTGGTTGAAGAATTCCTACAGTCATAAGCAGCACCTCATTTGCCAAAGATCCTTGCAACCAATACACTAACCCTTTTGTGTGTGTGTGTGTGTGTGTGATTTGTTTTGTTTTGTTTCAGTTTTGTTTTGTTTTTTTTGAGGCAAGGTCTCCCTGTAGCCCCAAGTGGGCTGGAACAAGCTATGCAGACCAGACTGACCTTGAACTCATAGAGATTTTCCTGCCTCTGCTTCCTGAGTGCTGGGATTAAAGGCATGTGCCACCACACCCAACTCTAGCCCTTGTTAACATGTGCGCCACCCTTTTGCCAGGCTGGCAATTCTGACCAAAGCCTTTAAAGAAACCTCAGGCATGTCCATATGCTAACTCCTTGGCTGTTACAGCCCCTCATGGATCATATAACTGTAGACATGAAAGAATGAAACCCCTGCCAACTTGCCTGCAAGTCTGGCATTACTGCGAGGCCACAATAGGTCAGCAGTGGTCTCTGCCATTGAGCAGAAGCAATGGATTCTAGGGAGCCGACAGTGGCCTTGCATTTTGCTATGATCACATGTCATCTGAGGCTGTTTGGAAAGCAGTAGGCAGGTACAGAATTCCAAAGATGTAGAATGTTCTGTGTGCCTCCTGCAGACCTGAGCTGGCTTTGAGATGAAGTCAAAGCAATCAGGGCCATTGCCCATGGCAGAGCACAGAAATGGAGTAAGGTCTGGACTGGCAGACTTTCTGATTTGCTGCCCAGTCTTGAAGTGGCTGCTGTCATCGTGTGTGTGGCAGGGGTGAAGAGAATACCCCACACCAAGGCATGGCAGCTGGGGAGAGGCGTGGGTGGTAAAAAGCCACTTGTTAGGAACCTGGGCAGCCGAAAACCGGATATGAAAGGACCACAGGCATGAGTGGACATGGAGGCCAAACTGGAATCGAATGCCAACTGGAAAGTGTATCTTATAACTTATTAAATAAAATGTTTGCTCCATAAACTGTTCCCCTCGTGTTCTTGGGTGGGGCCTTCAGAATCAGTGGGTCCATGATCAACTCTTCCCATCCCCTGCTACCGAAGTGCTTTGACAGTGGCCTCCTTTGACAATGGGCCTGACCTCCTTGCAGGGGAGGGGCTCTTTTCCTGAGCCGCCAAGTGGTCAAACAGGGCAGAACCTCGAGAGGGGACTATGAGAAGAGGGGGTGTGGGCCATGATAAGCATCACCTCTGGGGAGTCCTAGATCTGGAGCCTAGGAAGAAAAGATGGATTTGGAGAAAGAGCCTTTTTTCTGGTGTCATCCATAATCCACATTCTGGAATTTTCTCAAACAGGACCTATCACCTGTCCTCACTGTCTTAACCAAGCAGCGTTAGTATTGACTGCCATCATCTGCCCTTCCCTCATTTCTGTCTCTGCTGGAACTTGCTGCCAGGGAGAGTGTCTGATTGCTGGTGGTTCAGACTGTATCTAACCTTTAAATTTCTAATCTGCATGGTGGTCTGTCGACACCATCATACAGATGACAAAACTAACTTGGCTGTAGTTTACACTGTGTTTACAGATTCAGAACCTGCTTGGGAACAGACCATGGGCATATACCTTTTGACCTCAGAATGGGAACTCTACCCCTAGTCACATTGCAAAGAAGCAGGAGCTCAGAAGGAGTCACAGGAACCCCTCAAATCCTTTGGCAGTGGCCCCCAAGCATCCATTCTGCAGATGGGAGGATGGGGGAAAAAGCAGGCAGAGAAACTGGATTTTTGTGTTGGTGTTTTTTGTTTACAAGCTTTTGTTTTTGTGGAGACACAGGGCTCACCGTGTAGCTCTGGCTGGCCGGGGACTCACTAAGTAGACCAGGCTGGCCTGGAACTCAAAGATCTTCCCGCCACTGCCTCCCAAGTGCTGGGATTAAAGGTGTGTACCACCATGACTGTTTTTGAGACAGGATCTCATGTATCCAAGGCTAGCCTAGAATTCCCTATATAGCCAAAAAAAATGACCTGGAAATTAAAAATTTTTTTATGTGTTTGAGTCTTTTTTTTTGCCTACATGTATAGAATGTACCATGTTATACAGTGCCCACGGAGGCCAGAATAAGGCATCAAATCCCCTGGAACTGCAGTTAAGGATGGTTGTTGGCTGGCGTGTGAGTGCTGGGAACTGAACCTGGATCCTCTTCAAGAGCAGCCAGTGCTCTTAACCACTGAGTCATCTCTCCAACCTCAGGACCTTGAACTTTTGATCTTTCTCCCTCTGCCTCCTGAGGACTAGAATTAAGAGCATATGTCACCATTATTGCTGCGCTGGAGATCAAACCCAGGGGTTTATACATGCTAAGCAAGCACTCTACCAACTGAGCTCCATCACCTGCTCCTTTTCTATTTTGTTTTTCGTTTTTCTTTCCATGCCTGGCTATCCATTAGAATGGTAATTTGTTTTCCTCTGGGGTTAGAAGATGAAGGAGAGATGGGGTGCCCTCTATGGACTGCCTTGAAGGACTGTCCTGGACTTCTAGCATCTACAGGGCAGTGGGCTGTGAGGAGTCCACCCAGACGCTCCCTGGTATGATGCTGGCTTTGCCAGAGAAGCACAGGAGTACAGCTGTTCATCTGTTCACCTTCAAGCCTAGTTAGGTTTGCTGGGGGTAGCAGCATTTGTACACTAGTAGTGTGGAGCTTGACACAGGTATCCCAGAGTCTAAACACTGCCTCCCAACTGGCTGGCCTTGTGGCTATATGAGTATGCCTCCCTTGACTAGCGAGGTTATTGAATTCCCTCTGGGATCTGTAGGAACAGTTCCTTGCCCACTGCTTTCTGTAGACAACCTGCTGGAGGTGATACCACACAAGAATGTGAGCTAGCTGGTTGTTGGCACCTAGAGGCCCCCCAACACTCTGTGATGTTGGTTTTACCTTTGGGGTACAGTCCTGCCCCTTAAAAATCGCTGCTGCCTGTGACATCAAAGGACCCTTGGTGGAGACCTGACTCCCAGTCAGTGTCTACAACCACAGGGCAGCTCTTATCTGCACCTGGGCTTGGCTACTATGGAAACAAGCCATTGTTTGTACCAACACCGTGAAAACTTTGAAACTTGGCAGGCCAGGTGCCAAGTCCTTTCTGACTTTCGCTGGTCGACTTTGCCTGTTGCCTCGCTGGAGCTGATGGACTAGGATGTTGATCTTTAGTGGCTGATGGAGGTTACAGCCAGCAACCAGTGACCCCTGCTTCCCACAAAGAGGTCATCAAAGCAGAAGAGGCAAAGCCTGCCCTGCCCAGGGATGCCCACTCTGCCTCAGTTGCCCTCTGTATCCAGGGAGGTGCTTACCATGAGGCTACAAAAGGCAAACACTCCCACTTGCATTTACAAATTAGCCCTTTGCCACTTGTCCCGTTTTAGGACTTCAAAGCCGGCTTTGATGCATTTCTTATAAAATGAATTGGACACATTTAATTTCCTTTGAAAAGTACTCAGTCTTAAAAACAGGATAGCCTGGTGCGGTGATATTTATCTCAGCATTCAGGAGGCAGAGGTAGACAGATCTCTGTGAGAGTGAGACCACCCTGGTCTATACAGCAAATTCCAGGCCAGCTGGGGCTACAGGAAGACCTTGTCTCAAATAACAAAAAGCAACCCCCCCAAAAAAAGGATAAAGGTTGGGCGTGGGGGATATTCTGACTTGTCAACTCGTTTTCTCTCACAACTGGCAATACCAACATTGGAGGTAGGTGGGGTGGTGTTTTGTCTTTGCTTGCTCCATTGGTGCGCAGAAGATATAATACAAAGTCTTGTGCATGATAGACAAGTGCTCTTCTACTCAGTCACAGCCCCAGTTCAACCCCTTAAGTCTGTTTTTGTTTTTTATTTTATTATTATTATTATTATTTTTTTTGGGATTAAAGGCGTGTACCACCACGCCCAGCTTGTTTTTTATTTTTATTTTGTGTATGAATTGCATATAAGTGCTCCTGTATCATGCAATGCCTGCAGAGACCAGAAGAGGGCATCAGATCTCCTGAAACTGGAGTTACAGATAATTGTTAGCAGTCATGTCAGTGCTGGGAACCAAACCTGGGTCCTCTGTAAAAGCAGCCAGTGCTCTTAACCACTGAGCCATTTCTCCAGCCCCTCAAGTCTGTATTTAAATGGGGAACAAGAGGTTTAGGGATATAGGTATAGCTCAGTGTTTTGTAAAACACTTGACTTCGATCCCGAGAACCCACATGAAAAAGTTGAGTGTGGTGGCATCCTTTTGTAATCCCATTACTGGGGAGGTGAAGAGAGGCAGGTGCTTGGAACTGGATAGCCAGCCAGCCAGCCTAGCCTGATTGGCAAGTACTAGGCCAAGTGAAAAACCCTATCTCAGAATACAAGGTGGACAGCACCTCTAATTTAGTTTGTTGGGGTTTTATTGGTGTTTTTCTCTTCTCACAAATGTCAGAGTGGAGGGAGGGAAGGCACTAAAGCAAGCTAGATTCAGTTTTTCTCTGGCCTTGCCTTAAGGATGCTGCCCAAATGCATGGTGGGAGGAATCCTTGCAAACAAAGAATCCTTCTCTGCTTTGTGATGGACTTTGTCTGGGCCCCTAAGCCCACAGAGACCAACTCATGTGTATGGAATTTAGGGAGACCCACCCCTCACACCCTTTTCCTCTGAGTTCTCAAAGGCAGGCAGGAGCTGGGAATTTGCAGGCCTTATTTGTGGCATGTATCCCAGGGTGCTTTGAGCTTTGGACTTGCTTATCTCCCCAGGACAAAGAATCTACTGGCCTTTTATTGCCCATGTTTCCCCTCTGCCCTGAACACCGCCTTCTCCGGCACCAGGATGCCTTGCCTCGCCCAGTCACCACTGAGGCGGGGTACATTCTTTGGATCCAGCTGGTGCTGAACCCTGGCAGGGTGAACTCAGAGAAGGAAGCTTGACAGGCCCCAAGGCACCAGACCCAGATACCAGCAGCCAACTGAACAGCAGCAAAAGACCTGGTATGAGAGGGCTCAGGAAGCAGTATATCAAATGCAACATGTTCAGGTCTAGATTCAGTCCTAGCTAAGACTGACACCTCCCCCACCAACCCATTCATCTCACAACAGGCCTGAGTAAACCAGAACTTCCAGGAGAAGGGCTGCCTTGATATTGGGGTGATTTGACTCCCCAAAGTAGAGAGAAAGGAGTGCCCCATTGGAGGGAAAGCTGATTTGTGGTATTTCTAAGCAGAGTCCAAGAGGTTAGTCCTAGCTCTGTCCTCACCTCCATCAGGTCACTGACCATTACAGAATGCCTGCATCATCTTTCCGTATGTGTCACCCCCGTGAGGTGTTCTGAAGGTAACCCACAAGGAGTGCAGAACCGCATGTCTGAGTCAGGCACACAGGAAGTGCTTACAGAATGACCATTGCCCACCCAAGGTGACATCTTTGATAGTTCTGCCTTAGGTAGTCTGGTTGTTCTGCCTAAAGAGTGAGTTCACTGTCCAGGAGGGGGCAGTGTGGGAGCACAAGGACAGAACCCTAGGGGGATCAATGTGGCTGTGGGGCCAGAGTCAGCGGGAGGCTGGAGTGAGGCATCTCAGTGGGAGCACATGAAACAGTCAAAATGCAATAGATTCAAGGTCAGTTTCAAGTCCCAACTCTGCCAGCTTACAGCCAAGACACCTCAGGCCTCTGGAACACCCCGGAGATACAGGTCATTACCGGGCCAGGAAGGGCTGCAAAGCTAGCTCATGTTCCATAGGAACAGTATGTATGTTCACGTGTAGCTCCTGGCACATGGTAGGCCCTCAGTAAGAAAAGGAAAGCCTGGGTTCAAGAGGTCACTTGGACCACCCTGAGAGATGCAATAGACCCGGGCTTTCATACATAGTCTGCCCGTAATCTCCCCCAGCCCCCCAAACTCTGCTTTCCTTCCCCCCTCCTTGGGGTGGGGGGGGGAACACTGAAGAGCAGTAGGCTGCCTTTACACTGTGACCTTGCTTGCCTTTCAGACCAGGGTCCCTGGCTGTTTACTGTTCCCCAACTCTGCCTGGCTAGCTCATGCTCCTGGTTTAGGTCTTAGTCCAAGAGTACCCCCTCCAGTAACCTTCCTGATTCCCTACCACCTCCATATCTGGCTGTAATTTTACCTTCTAGATTGAATTCTTGCAGCCAGGAAGCACACAGGCTCCACTCCCCTCAATTACCTCTTGTGTCTGACTCATCACCTGGCACAGGGTCTAGAACAAATGAGTGCTTGTTGAATGAATAAACGATCACACGGATAGCAAAGAATGGAAAGACAAGAGACCTGGAGCATTGTGGATTACACTCTTTTCCCTGGCCCTTTCCAGGAGAGAGGCAGAGACTGAGAATCTGGGAGACTGGCCTACGATGGTGCTGAGCCTTCCCATGCCTGCCTGTCTGCCTGTCTGTTGCCTCACTGCTTGTGACATTCCCCAGGGGAGTTCTGTGGCCATAACTTAGAGATTTGAGTTTTGGAGCTGTTATGACATGAATCTGAGATGCCACCACAGGCTCATATATTGGGGCTTAGGTTGCTACCCTAGCGGCTTTTGGGAAGTGGTTGATGAGAGCTGACCTAAGGAATGGTTAAACCCTTGATAGATTCATATGATGCATTACTGCGAACTGAAGTAGGAGGTGGGGCGTGGTGGAAGGAAGTCCTTGGAAGGGAGCTGTATCTTGTCCTGGCCCCCTCCAGTAGTCTTTCTCTACTTTCTGGCCACCATGAGGAGACGTGTCTTCTCTGCCACATGCTCCAACCGCCAAAATATTTTTTCTGCTCAAGCACATAGGGCCAAGTGATAAAGGACTGAAGTCCCTAAAACTGTGAGCCAAAATTAATTTTTCCTGTTTTGAAATTTTTCTTCAAGGTGGTTTAAGGCCCCAGAGCACAGCATGGTACCTAGTTTCCAGCAGGTACATGTTAAATCACAGCTGACATTGATGGAGAGTGCCTCCTAGGCCTGACTGTCTCAGACACTGTGAGATGCTATTCTCCCAATATTAAAGTGTGTTCCCACCAGCATCCTATGTACAGAAAAGGCTACTAGCTAGCAGGTGGCGGGGGTGAGCCTCTGAGAAGCTAGACCCAGAGTTGCCAAGACAACCCCCTTAGCCATGTCCCTCAAGCTTTCTGTGGGTGAAGACTGGTCCCTCTCATTGGTTCTCCTGGGTGCTTGGTACAGGGCAGATTATTTCAGGATCCACTGTATGGCACAGAGGCAGTGACTCCTGTGTGCCCCTCTGGGAGCCTTCTGGTTATGAGACTGAAGGTCTGAGCCCAAGACCATCTGGGAACCAGGTTGTGCTCTTTTAATTTTATTTAAAAATAAATACACTGTGTGTGTGTGTGTGTGTGTGTGTGTGTGTGTGTGTGTGTGTTGCAATGCATATGTGACTGTAGCCACGCATATGAAAGTCAAGGACAACTTTCAGGAATTGGATCTCTCCTTCCACCTTGGGTTCTGAGGATGGAACCCAGGTCACTGGGCTTGCCTGGCAGAACTCTTACCTGCTGAACCTTCTCTCTGGTCCATGGTTCTACTCTTATTTCTAGCTTGACCAGGTCTGTCCTGCCTGTGGGTGACCCAAGTCATCAACCCACCCCCTCCTCTCTAGCAGGCCCTGGCAACTTGGCTCTCATTGGCTACACGTTTCCCTGGAGACAAACACCGGTTATCCAAACACAGGCTGCAGAGCTACAGGAAGAATCTTTTGTTCCTCCCTTGGGCTCCCTAGCCATGAAGGAGCTGTTCAACTCCCCAAACCAGAACCAGGCCTGCTGGAGGGAGCGCATAAAGAAAGAGGTAGTTGCTAGGACCACCTGGAATATCCGCTACAGCCACAAGTACCTCAAAGAGGGGACCAGGCCCAAGAAACAGCCCCAGCAGCCCCCTTTTGCGTCAGCCTCGAGAGCTGGCATAGGCCCAGTGTCTGCCACCAGTTTCCCTGTCAGGAAAGAGGTGCAGGTAGGACAGTCGCAGACACGGGGGATCCAGGACCAGCTGTTCAAGGCTGGAGGTGTCCAGGGCCCAACACCCAAGGGAGACAGAGAGAGGCAGGTCAGAGGAGCCCCTCAGGACATAGCAGCCCAGGGCAGGCCAGAGGACTTAGAGATGAAGCGGCCCTCCCCAGCCACCCTGAAGCTGCTCTTCCACGGCATCTCCCATGAAGGCCAGGGCCGGGCCCTGTACCTGAGGGAGCGGCATCAACTGACTCCAGAGAAGAAGTTCAAGTACCCGATGGTGTCTTCCTGGGAGTATGGCTGGCACACGGGTAAGACCACCACCCTCTTGCCATTCCAGGCTTTTGGCAGGCAGGCCTAACTTCCTTCCTCAGCCTCCCTCCTGACACATGGAACTGACTCATCACCCTGTAAGCAGAACAAGAACCTTCTCACTTGCAGATCGGCTTCTGGCCTGGCCTCCACTGGAATGCATGTCCCCAAACATACACCTTCCCAGATCCTCCAGGTAGATTCGTTAGGCCGGCCTTGGTGCTTTGGCAGCTTGTTGAGTCTGCAGAAGCCCTGAGACCACCAAGTCAACCATTCTTTGCCTATCTGTTTGACCTGGAAATCCCTTTGTATATCAAGACTTTCCCTGTTAATTTTATTCCCAGCCTCTCAACTGCCAGCTTGGAATGAATGAATATGAGCAAGCCAAGTTTGGTGGTACACATTGTAATCCCAGCACTTAGGAGGCAGAGACAGAGACAGGAGTTCAAAGTCAACCTCAGCTACATAAGGAGATTGAGGCTAGCCTGGCCTACATGAGACCTTGTCTCAGAAAAAAAAAAAAAACCCACCAAATCCAAACACGAACTGGAAAGCAAGACCTTTATTTGGAATGGGAGGTGGGTAGTAAATCCTGATTCTACGGCTTCTGAATGGTGTGATCTTGCCTAGGAACACTAACTTCTCTGGGCTTCAGTGTCTACACCTGAAAATCGGGAATAAGCTAGTGCTTGCTTTCCTGTGTCACAGCGTTTGGGGGAGGTTGGCAGGGGCTCATTGAAGGCTAGGGATGAATTGCTGGGCATTGCACACATACTAGGCAAGTGCTCTGTGCCGAGTCACATCCCAGCCCCATAGTCTGCATTTCTAACAAGATCCACATGCTGCTGATGCTACTGGTCTGTGGACCACACTGCCTATCAAAGCTGCAAGAGGAGATAACTCCAGATTAGGGGATCAGGACTGGGGTACCCTGGTAAACAGGTGGTCAGGGAAGGCCTACCACAGAGTCCTGTACTGGGAAGTAACCAGCGTACAGCATTCTTCAGGGAAGGACCTAATTACCTCTCATAGAGAGAGTTTCAGTTTAGATGCCCAGCATCTTCCTCTCCTTCTCTGGCTCACAGGCCCATGTGCATTGCTACATTGATAGCTCTATCTACAGGATACCTAGGCTTATTTAATATAACAAATAATGTTAGTATTGATGTATACTAAATATAGCATGGAACATACCCTGATGATTATTAGTGTTTATCTGCAATTCAAATGCAGATGAATAACCTATCCTTTATCCAGCAAGCCACCCTCTATAGAGTGTCACAGCCATGCCAGGAGGCTTATTCTAGATGCTCCCTGGCTACTAGGGAGGTGTTGGGTTATAGTCAGAAGAGAGACTGTGGTTCTGCTTAAACTCACATTTGCTCCCAGATTCTTTGGAACATTCCATAAGCCTCAGGCCTCATACCTTGAACCCAAACCCAGTTCAGGGGTCACTTGGGAGAACAGATGACAGATCTTCTATTGACCAATACCTTCCCCTATCCCAATTACAAATGGGGAGGGGGCTGCCTCATCCCAGAGGGATTGGGGGCATTGACTAGGTCCCAATTGGGTCAACCAAAAAAAAAATTTTATGCATATAAAGCAAGAGCCTGGTGCCTCGCACAGAGTAAATGCTCAATAAAATGGCAGCAAGTATTATATTGCTGTTGTTGTTGTTGGCTCAACAGGCAGGATTTACAACCCATGGGCATCTAGGGAAACAGTTCAGCCTTGGGCCACCCTAGAGATCTTACTGTACATTGGGATGTTGCGATAATCCTAACAATGGTAGGAATGTGGCGAGTGTTAAGTGAACTTGAAGTTGAGTGAGGGGCCCAAGTGGTTAACAATTGAAATGACACTAGTGCTGCCCATCAGGACAGATCCTGGTCATGGCCAGCACAGGGTCTAGAGTCTCCCATGCTGTGCAGGCATTAGCCTTTAGCTGTTGGATCATACGGCATTCTGAGAATCCTCCAGTAGGAGCCAGGGACATGAAAGGGCAATGGCTATTCCTGAGTCACAGAAATGCTGACTTAGTTTAATAGTTGTAGTGGCACATCACTGCTGACCCCTAGTCCTTTGGATGAGGAGGTCCTGGCTGGAGGATGGTGACCCCTTCTCACCCAGGCCTCTGCTGTGTTCCAGGGGATAGCATCAAGAACTACAGGACACCAGCTTATGCCAAAGTCCAGCCTATCACGAAGACATTTTTTGCTAAAAATGGCATCTTCCATTTTCCGCAGTGATCAGACCGGTTCATGTGAACTTGGCTTGGAAAGGGCCTCAGTGGCTCCTTTCTTTCCCTCTGATCCATTTGGACCAGTCAGCAGGAGATGCTGCCGGCCAGACCTACCTCACTCTGTGTTCTGCTGAGCCCTGCTTCCTTGGCTGAGAGTGAAGAAGTGACCATAGGCATATTCTTCTGGGGTATCCTGGTGGCCTATGTGGGGGCTCTTGTCTGCACACAGAGGCCTCCACTCCTTGCAAAGCTGCCCCACCCTACCAGCCCTAGCAAGGGGTGGGTCTGGTGCTCCTTGAAGACAATGGAATCTCCAATGTGGCATCAGCAGGCAGGTTCGCTGAGCACCTCAAGGTGCTCAGGAGAGTGATAGTCTCCCTGTTGTTTCTTTTTCGATATTTGCTGAAGGATCCATTGTAGAGTTGCACGGTCCCAATGTATCTGTCCCACAGTTTAGGGAAAGGGAAGAACCTGCCATTTCCACTTGCTGCTTCCCTCCCAGCTCAGAGCAGCATCAGAGATGCCCTGCCTCTCTGGCTACAACAAGCAGCCCTTAAGTCCCAACTGCTTCAATCAATAAAGATCCATTTCTTTCTTTGTCTTTTCTCATTCACTGAAGATGCATTTGTTCCACCAGAATCCAGCCTCTTGCTTAGTGGACAGCCTTCTACACGCTTATCCAATGGAGAGGCTGCCCCCTTCTGGTGGCTCTGTCAACAACTAACCTTCGAATCTTGGGAGTCTTCTATATCTCTTGAAAGGACTAGGGAAGCCAGAGAGTGTGTGGAGATAGCAGAGCCACCTTTGTTTTTGTTTATTTTTCTCAGACAGGGTCTCATGTACAGCTCAGGCTGGCCTGGAACTAGTATTCCTCTTGCCTCAGCCTCCCAGGTGCTGGGATTAGACTCATGTGCCACCAAGCCTCACAGCATACCCACTCTTAACAACCGTGGCTTTGGCCTGGTGCTAATACATATTTACTATCTCTAACATCCTATTAGTAAGAGCAAGTCACATCACTTCCAAATGGGTGACAGCTGGATTCTGTCCTATAACCATGAACAAGGAGAGAAGACCTCCAAAGATCTAGTAGGTCTCTGCCACAGAGCCTAATGTGTCCTGGGGCTGCTCTGGAGCCATAGTCACTGCCTAACACCTTCCTGTATTAGTTTCCCCAGGCAACAAAAATCCTGGGGGCTTAAAAGAAGAGAAATTCATTGTTTCATAGTTCTGGAGGCTGGAGGTCCAGAAATCTAGGGCTCAGAGGGGCTGTGCTCCTTGAATATGGTAGAGGAGTCATTTTTGACCTCCTTCATGCCTCTTGTGGCACGCAGACAGTCTCATGTTCCTTGGCTTGCACTGCATTGCTCTCAACTGCCTTCAGTGTGCCACAGGCCTGCCTTTGCCATCCACACTCCATGATCTTATAAGGACATCAGCCATGTTGGATTAGTGCCTACCCTACTATAGTATGGCCTGGACTTTACCAGTCTCACCTTCATTGACCTACTTCCAGATAAGGTGATGCTCTTAGAAACTGGCAGGAAGGACTTTAATGTATCTCTTTTGGTGGGCTATAATTCAGACCACCACCACCACCACCCCTGCCCCCTCCTTCTGACAGCCAGTCCTTAGTTATTGGAATCATTTTGATGAGCCTTCCTCTGTTTGCTTGGAAAACATCCCCAAGCACAATCCCAGACATGGAAATAGTGGTCAGTGGAGTCCCATTAGGCATTGGTGTCCACAGCACTCATTGCTTGGAAGGCTTCCAGATGTAGTGATCCCTGAACACAGCTGTTTGCAAAACCAAAATGCTCATAAGTTTGCCTTATTAATCAGGGTGCTGCTATATTTTTCATGCTGATCCAAACTCAGTTTAAACAGAGCGTGAACAGACAAACAGCTCTTTCAAGGACCACCTCCAGAAGAATTCTCCAGGTTTTTATGGATCTCCCATTTATCTTGAAATATCAGACAACCAGACCAGCTAAAACTTAGAATACAACTAAATTAACTTATTTTCCCGAATCAACTTTGACAATGCTCTTGAATGAGAGAGCAAAAAGCAGCTATTGAAAGCAAGGACATCCATGGGAACTTGGACTCACTCAAACACCAAATAACCCTCTGGGTTCTCTGAAGTCACTGGGTTAAAGGCAACAAATATTGGTCTAGCCAGGTTCAGGCTGGGCTTCTGATCATGGGGGCAGATCTTGGAGCTCACAGATAGAGTGAGAAGGGCTGTGGTAAGGAAGGTGGGCACCTTTGGACGATAGAGAAAGCTTCCTAAAGGAGGTCACTGACATTTCTGTCACTAAACCACATCATGCTTAGCAAGTCCTTGGCACAGAGGCTGGCTCTACATGTGTGCGATGTGAATTATTATCCCTATCAGCAGCAAGTGCACACACTGCTCAGAAGATAATAGGCTGCTATCGGTGTAGACTTTCTTGATAAACACTCTGCAATAAATTAGACTCTACTAAAAGATGGCTTAAGGAACTATTTTCTCAATTCTCCCAAGGATGGAGCTACATAGTTAGCCTAGCATCATTCTAGAGGGTGAGTTGAAATGGTTATTCATTCCAAACAGTGGCTGTCTCAAATTTTAGGGCTTAATTTTATCTGGAAAGCCAGTTAAGAAGAGTTGAGTGCTAGGGATGTAGCTCCATTGGTAGAGTGCTTGCCTAACATGCACAAAGGCCGGGGTTCAATCCCTAGAACCTCAGTACTCATAAACAGGGCATGGTGGCCCCACATGCCTATAATCTCAGCACTTGGAGGTGGAGGCAGAGGATCAAAAGTTGGCGGTCATCCTCCTTGGCTACACAGGAAGTTCGAGAAGAGCTAGCGATAAGGCTCAGCAGTTAAGAATGCTTGCTTTGTAATCATGAAGACTGGAGTTCAGATCTCAGCACCCATGAAACAATCCAGGTACCCTGCACACACCTATAACCCCAGCTCTGAGGGAAGTAGAGACAGGAGGATCACTGGGACTTGCTGGTTTCTAGTCTAGCTGTTAAAATATAAGTCCCAAGTCCAGGAAGAGACTCTGTCTCAAAGAAACAGGAAAACAGTATAGAGGAAGACACTCACACATGTACAGAGACATACATGAAGGAAGGAAGGAAAGGAGGAAGGGAAGGAGGGAGGGAGGAAGGAAGGAAAAGAGGGAGGGAGGAAGGGAAGGAGGGAAGAAGAAAGGGAGGGAGGAAGAAAGGAAGGAAGGAAAAGAGTGAGTGAGTGAGGGAGGGAGGGAGATAGTTAGGCAGGTGTGTTTCTAAGCTTGTACCGCCCAACTTGGTATTCATGAGCCACATATGTCACTGAACATTTGAAATATCTTGTCAACACTGAAATATTTTTCTGCATATAAGTCTCCCTCATTTTTGAAGATTTGGTATGATAGAAAATATGATTAAAATATTATTAATAATTTTAAGAATTACATGTTAAAGTGACTAGCCTTTGGATAGACTGTATTAAATCAGGGATTGATGAACTTTCCCTGTAAAGGCCTAGAGAGTGAATATTTTCAGCTTTGAAGGCCATCTGTCCCCACCCACACAGATGTTCAACTGTGCTGTTGTAGTGGAAAAGCAGCCAGAGACAGAGACGATGCAAAAGCAGTGGGCATAACTGTGTTCCAATAAACCTGCAAAACCAAAGCCAAAACTGGATGGTGGGCTAGATTTGACACCCCCGACATGGATCCTTGGGTTTAAATTTGCAAAATATATTATTTTCATTTCTTTCTTTTTGCTTTTTAAAAAGTAGCTGCTAGAAGATTTCAAGTTGTTTATTGCTCGCACTTTGTATTAGGGATTAATCTAAACACTTTACTGTTAGAACTAAGGGCTGACTGTCACTCTGGAAGTTGATTGTGTGTGTGTGTGTGTGTGTGTGTGTGTGTGTGTGTGTGTGTGAGTGTGTGTGTGTGTGTGTGTGTGTGTGTGTGTGTGTGTGTGTGAAGGACAAGATGTATGAATTTCCATGGCAGCCTAGACAGGGCTCCCTGGCCTGCTCCCACTCTAGCATGGAGTCCCAGAGCAATTGGCACTGGCTGCTTCCTGCCGGCACCTGGACCTGTGCCTGCTCATCATCCCAGGTTTGTGAGAGTTCCCAGAGAAGCCACCAGGTGGCGCGATGAGACCATGCATTCCTGTTGACTTACCAGAAACCACTGCACTCCTTTGCTGTGTAGTCTGAACCTGTTTCCTCACCTATTGTACAAGATCCTGGCTCCCCTAGCAAGTCATACATCCTGTGAGGACTTTCCTAGGCCCTGGCTATTTTTCCATTCTTATGTCCGTTCTCCATGGAAAAACCGTATTTTAAAGCTGTGCTGGTTATAAAGAAAAAATATACATATTGCATGTTAAAAATTTTCTTCAATTAAATAGTTATCATTTCCGTGACCATAAAATTATTGTCTTCCCCTCCCCCTACATACTGTGTATTCTTAATAGGTGAGTCAGCCTTGGGCTCTATATTTTCTAGCTGTGAAAACTTGGGGGAGTTGTTTCACTTTCTGGGCCTCAGTTTCCTCATCTACAGACTACAGATAGAATCAAAACCTGCCTCCTAATTCTGTGGTTGGAGTTCAGTGAGGTAGTATCAGCCTACATCTTTTTACATCGGTATAATTTAAATTTTTTTTTTTTTGATCTTTTTGAGACAGGGTCTCCCTGTAGCCCCAGCTGTCCTGGAATTCACTGTGTAGACCAGGCTGGCCTTGAACTCACAGAGATCCACCTGCCTCTGCCTCCTGAGTGCTGGGATTAAAGGTGTGTGCCACCACGCCCAGCTATAATTTTAATTTTTATTAAGTCCCTCCACTTCCTCCGTGTGTGTGTGTGTGTGTGTGTGTGTGTGTGTGTGTGTGTGTGTGTGTAGGTCAGAGGACAATCTGTGGAAACTGGTTCTTTTGTTCCATCATGTTGGTTCAAGAGATCAAATTAGGTTGTCAGGCTTGGTGACAAGCATCTTTACCTTCAGAGCCATCTCTCCTGCCCAGGCCACATCTATTTTAGGATACAACCTGGGGGTTGTGGGATGTAGCTCAGCAGGTAGAGTACTTGTTTAGCATAAACAAACTCGGGGACCCCAACATTGCATAAAACCAGGCATGGTGGCCCATAGCTATAATCCTAGCACTGAGAAGGTTTGGAAGGGGGAGGTAGGAGGATCAGAAGTTGAAGGTTATCCTCAGCCTATGTATAGGCAAGTTTGAGGCCAACCTGAGATACATAGAACCCTGTCTCAAGAAAAAGAAAAGAGGAAAGAAGGCATGGAAGAGAGGGAGGGAAGGAGGGGGAAGAGGAGGGAAGGAGGGAGGAAAGGAGGGAAGGAAGGAGGGAGGAAAGAAAGGAAGGAAAAGAACCCAGCCTGGAGCAGGGCAAACATTGCAAACCACAGGTATTATTTGTCACTTTTGTCATTAAGTCTGTTTTTCACTGTAACTTGTCTGAATTGATTAAAAGATCCTAGTGTAAGCAGGGAACATTGGTGTATATTTTTAATCCTAGCTCTCTGCAGGCAGAGGCAGGTAGATCTCTGTGAGATTGAAGCCAACCTAGTCTACAGCCAGGGCTACATAGTGAGACCCTGTCAAAACCAAACCAAAACAAACAAAAAAACAACCACCAACCAAACAACTAAACAAACAAAACCCCCAGGAATTTCAAAGCAAGTAACTCAGAAAACCAAGATGACCTGCCAGTACGTGATAAAGAGTTGCAAATGTCAAATGCAACCTCCCTTCAGCAGTCAGAATGGTCAGGTGAGGTGGGAACATATTCAGACAGAAGCAGGGTAGGCTTATACCTATGTGCCAGGTAGGCGGTCCTTGGGAAGTGGTGTGGGTGGGCACGGGTGTTCACTTTAGCGCCTGTGTGCGCGTGTTTGCATACTTACACCTTTGCTTCCTGTAGTCCCTTTCACCAGCTTCCTGAATCCGGAGGCTTGCAGCCATAGGTGTCAGGGTTCTAAAGACCTCTTTCAAAATGTGACCTTCAAGTAAATGACATGAGAGCGCTGACTTCTTCAAGACTGTGAGTAGGAGAATGGACTTGACTCAACAGTGGAGGCAGGCCTGAGCCTCTGTTGGTGGCTCTACTTCCATCCACACTCACCTGGGCCAAGTGCCTTTTCCTCATTCTGGGACAGGTAAGGGGCATGGCCCCTAATTGGGGAACTGCCCTTGTGTGTGTGTATGTGTGTGTGTGTGTGTGTGTGTGTGTGTAAACATGTATGTGCACACACATATGTGTGCTGGTTTGTTTTTGTCTACTTGACACACTCTAGGGTCATCTGGGAAGAAGGAACATCATTTGAGGAATTTCCTTCATCTAATTGGACCGTGAGAATGTCTGTGAGGCATTTTCTTAACTGTTAACCTGCTGTGGGCAGTGCTAACCCTGGGTAGGTGGACCAGGCTGCATAAGAAAAGAAGTTGAGTAAGCTAGGAAAAGCCAGCCAGTAAACAGTGGTCCTGGGTGGCTTCCACTTTAGTTTCTCCTCCAGGTTCCTGCCTTGAGTTCCTGCATTAGATTCCCTCAATGACAGACAGTAAGAATAAATAAGCCCTTTCTTCCCCACGTTGCTTATGGAAGCAAGTGAGGACCATCTGTATGAGGCTAGAGGTCCATGTTGGGCGGCTTCCTCATTGCTCTCTACCTTATTTTTTTTATTTTATGTTTATTAGTGTTTTGCCTACATGTATGTAAGTGTACCCATGTGTACAATGCCCAGAAGAGGGCATTGAATTCCCTGGAAATGGCATTACAGATGGTTGTTAGCCATCCTGTGGGTGCTGGGAACCAAACCCAGGTCCCCTGTAAGAACAGCCAGCTCTTAACTTCTGAGCCATCTCTCCAGCCCCCTCTATCTTATTTTTTGAGGCAGGGTCTCTCCTTGAACCTGGAGCTCACCAACTCAGCAAGACCAGCTGGCCAGCAAACTCCAGGGAGCCTCTTGTCTCTGCCTCCCCAGCACTAGGACTGCAGGTGTAGGTCACCATGTCTAGCTTTTTACATGGCTGTTAGGGATCTGAACTCAGGTCCTCATGCTTATGCAGCAAGCACTTTACCCCAGGACCTGACAACTGCTGTTGCAGTCTCCAAACCAAGAAAGAGATCTGAGCCAGGATATTATGAGAGAGAAGCGCCCTTTGTGCCTCATCCCCAGAAGGAACGGGGTGAAGGTCACAGTGTTGGAGGCAGGAAATGGCTGTGGAGGAGGAAGAAGCTCTAACAAGGACTAGAAGTAGAGGCAGTCCCATTTCTCAAGCTTCACTTGCCAAAATACTTGCTGTAGCAAATGGCAAAGCAATGGGGCCTTAGCATGATTGGTTCTCAATAGCCAAATGAGAGCAATAGGTACTCAAAGACTGAGAGCTGCCTATCCATGATGAAACAAGTCCTGCTAATAAAAACCAAGTTTCCACTTATTGCTGACTCACTGGCTGCTAGGCCCACACTAGATGCTATGCATCCAGCGTCTGATTTAAACCTTGTCTGGGAGGTTGCTCAGTTTACAAAAGGGAAAATGAAGGTGAGTCACCTCCTCACTTCTCAGGGTCCCAGAACAATAGGCAGTATGGATTACGACTCTACTAAGACGGGAGAAGGGGGTGCTTTAAAGCCTAGCCCTTGGATATCTGCCTTTGAGCACATCTGGACATGAGGGGAGTGATGCTTGAGCAAGGCAAGTATGAGGTCCTGAATTCAATCCCCACATGAAAAAAATTCAGACATGATGGTGTATGGCTTGAGTTTCAGCATTGGGCTCCCTGAGGTTTGTTAGCCAACTAGCCAAGAGTGCTCAACAAATTCCAGGCCAGTGAGAGACCTTTTCTCAGCAAAAAAATGTAAATAACATTCGAGGTTTAACTCTGGCTTCTACACATATGTGCACATACATGCATATGCACCTGTACACACATATTTACTGGCACACAAAAGAGCACATGCTCATACAATGCAGATTAATGGAAGCCAGGCATGATACTCATTCCTCTGGTTCCAGCATCCAGCAAGTGGAGGCAGGAAGATCAGGAGTTCAACATCATCCACAGATATGAGTTTGAAGCCAGCCTGACACATGAGATCCTGTCTCAATAAAAAATGATAGATGATAGATAGATGATTGATGGATGGATGAATAGATAGATGATGATAGATAGACGATAGATGATAGATGATAGTTGGATAGATGATTAGATAGATAGATAGATAGATAGATAGATAGATAGATAGATAGATAGATAGATGAGCCCTGGCTCATATTTCCTGAGACAGACTCTGAACATGTAGAGCCTGCACTTCGGCATGGGAACTGACTCCTTGGGACTCTGTACACCAAGCTTCAGATGCTCTGGATGAAGCCAAAGCTGAAGGAAGAGGTGACTTTGACCAGGGTGAGCACACGCCACACACACACACACACACACACACACACATACACCTTCTCAAAATACTACCAGATTTCCTGCCCCAGACAGGGCAGATAACCAGGTATGACACACAGAAGATTTGTGGCAACTCTGAGGGTAAGCAGTAAGCCCATTCTGTGGCCTCTGGCTCGGCAGAGTTTGGCAGAATGACAGCTGGCAAGATACCTGTGGCTCTAACCTGCATAGACAGAAAAACATTTTGTCTGGGAGGAAACCACAGGTATCTGGAGTTGCTGACCCCAAGTCAGAGTCATGAGCAAGGCCGTTTGGGTACCTTATCCATCTTCTTCCTGTCTCCCTGCTCATCAGAGTCCCAAACCCATCAGCTAGAGTTCTTGTTCCAGGCACGCCAACCAGGGAATTTTTTTGTTCTTTAGAGTATCTCTCCAAAATGGGCTCATTTGTGAATTGTTTGCTTAACCATATGGGGCCTTGAATACTGGAAGGTTTCTGGGTACAGTGAACTCTACCTCAGAAGAAGTATGCCCAAGTTTTAACCACCTTGCCATCTTCCCCTAAAGTCTCAGAGATAAACTGGACAAAGGAAATCTCAACAAAATCTCAAAGGTGAAGGCGTTTGGGGGAGATGTTTCACTCAGTTTAATGAGGGCACTTTGGATTGTTTCCCTTGGTAAGATGTTATATAATTCTAGATATCAGACTGTTACAGTTTGGATCTGGAGTGGTTCCCAAAGGCTCAAGTGTGAAAGACAGGGTCCCCAGGCCAGGATGCTGTTGGGAGGTGGGAAACTCTTTTAAGAGGTAGAGCCTGTTGTGGAGGTCATAGGCAGCATGCCTTGAAAGGGATCCTAGGATCACACCCCTTTCTCCTTTCCCTCTCCCGTCTCCCTCTCTCTCCTCCCACCCAGTGAGGTGAAAGAACAGGCTTTGTTCCACCACAGGCTCTCTTTGCCTTGGGCCCCTGTGCTGGATAGCTTTAGTTGTCAACTTGACACACCTGGGTTGAGGGAGCCTCAACTGGAGAATTGCCTCCATTGGACTGCCCTGTGGTCATGTCTGTGGGGCATCTTCTTGATTGTTGAGTGATGACAGAGGGCCCAGCCCACTGTGGGTGGTGCCACCCATGGGTGGTTGGTTCTATACTGTACAATACAAGGAAACAGGCTGAGCATGGGCCAGGAGAGCAAGCCAATGAGCAGTGTTCCTCCATGGCCTGTGCTCCAGCTCCTGCGTCCAGGTTCCTGCCCTAAGTTCCTACCTTGGGCTTCCTGATGAATTGTGACCCAGGAGATGTCCAAACAAACTCTTTCCTCCCCAAGCTGGGACTAGACAGAGTGTTTCGTCACAGCAATTGAGGGCAGACTACAACATCCCCAAAGAGATGGAGCCACTAGCCATGAACCGGAACCTCTGAATCCATGAATCAAAATAAACCACTCCCTTCAGCTTGATTATCTCAGATTATCTGTCGGCATATCAGAGAGCAGACTGACGCACAGGCACACGGCCCCTTTTTCTTACTTCACAGTCACACTCTCCCCAGTATGTGAAGGACAAAAGGCAATCCAGGGACCCATGCTGATGGCATGATAAGCTTTGTATTTCTTACAGTTACACAGGGTGCTCATTCATGCACAGACACCCTCATGAAGCACACAGAGCTGCGTGGAACTGCTTCAGAGACAGGAAACTAGGGGGCAAAACTGGAGGTGTCATTATTTTTTGGTGCTTCAGAGTACTTTTTTTTAAACCATGTCCACATGCTGGTTGAATGAAGAGAGGATATCAGGAAAAAACAAAGCAAATTGTACAAACACAGGCACTTTGGATACAAGCAAAATAGTGCCACATTTCTGAGTTCATAGGAATGGCACAGAAATAAAATCCTCAAGTTTCACTCAGTCAGCCTTTGTCACACCAGGACCTTCAGTGAGCTCTAGTACTGGCCCAGGTAACAAATATAGTGTGGTAAATGTTGCAGTGGAGGTGTGGAATATGGGGCTGGGGACACTTAAGCTAGACTCTAGGATAGAACAGGGGATACAGGGTAGTGCCAAGGCCCCTGCAGAGAGGGAGGGAAGGAGGAAAGGATGAAGGGAGGAAGAGGGAGGGAGGGAGGGAGGGAGGGAGGGAGGAGATGGGCAGGGAAGAGTCACCCTACTGGAACGTGTAGAATAAGGTGAGGCTGGCATGAGATGTCAGATAATGGAAAACTTCATGATATCCAAAGACTGAGCCTGGGTTGCATCCTACAGGATCCCTGCAGGATCGTGGGCAGGGCTGTGAATGAGGGTGGACCCTGGTTTTGACCCTGGTGGCCACTGGAGGCTGGCTGAGTTAAAGGAGGCCATTAGGATGAAGGCAGGAAGACGGAGGAGGAGTAGCCTTTATTCTCTTCATCCCTGTGAGATGCCATGGTGGCCTGACACCAGGCAGGAGGGGGCGGAGTCTGAAAACTGTTGATTGCCAAAGTCATTGGGGTCTTGGTATTTCTGCTCTTTTCTGAGAAACAAGATTCTCTTGTGAGGACTGGCACCCGACATCTGTCTTCCTGTAGCCTCTCTAGTGGCAGTGTTTAGCAGGACACCAGTGACAGTGGGTGGGGTCAGGAAGGCATTACAGAAGACTCTCCTTCTAACTTGGCTCCATACAGAATGAACTCAAGTAGACAATGAAAGCAGCTGGACCAATCTTATTTCCTGAGTATGCAGACAGCACTTCAGACCTGCGACAGCCATTTTATTTAGAGGCAAGGAGTGGCTTTAAGAGAAAGGCATCCTGATATCTAGGAGCGACTGCCTTTTTTTCTCTTCTTTAGAGAAACAGATTTTTTGCTGTTGGAGAAGGCCCTTGAAGACTGAAGTTTAAATTCAACTGGAAAGTGGTCACTGACATCCAGGGCCTGGCAGGAGAGAACAGAAATAGATTTGGGGATTAGGAGATGCCTGCAACATGCTGTGATTTTAGCAACAAGCAAACAAGAGTAGAGAAGAAAGAGGAAATGTCTGTCACCCAGTGGAACTGGTGAGCATCGCCCTTGGTCCGGATAATGGCAGCAGGTCTTCAAATGACAGAACTGTAGATCTTGAGACTCAAGACCGACCAGGCCACCTTCTCAAGACAACGGATCAGAAAGATAAGATGGCACCCTTACCTCCTCTTCAGACAACTCGTAAGCTTTCTGGAAGTCAAAGATGCCACTTGACTTGGGAACCACTGAGTTGACGATCTCTTGTCCTCGAAGCACAATCCTGGAGCAAAGGGAAGGGAAGACAATTGTATTAATCTGAGCTGTGGATGTAGGAGATCAAAGTGGGGTCTGGGTTTCATGTCTGGAACTGACTGAGCAGCCCAGTCCTTCAATGTAGTGTTCCACACCTGGTTTTAGCTTGCGACCCTAGAGGATGGTGCCTAGGGTTTCAAAGTGGGATGAGTCCCTGCCACAGCCCTGTGGGTCCAAGCAGCAGCTCTCCACATGGCAGACACCCATGGCATGAGAATACATTTTACATATGGACCACGTCAGTGGCTTGAAATATGAGAACGTTGCTCTCCTTTCGACCTTTTTTACTTTGTCATAATTAGGTTATGGTGAAATCTTGGGTAGGTGCTGGCTTGTCTTGGATGCCTACCTAAGCCCCCCCCCTCATGAGAATACATTTTACATATGGACCACGTCAGTGGCTTGAAATATGAGAACGTTGCTCTCCTTTCGACCTTTTTTACTTTGTCATAATTAGGTTATGGTGAAATCTTGGGTAGGTGCTGGCTTGTCTTGGATGCCTACCTAAGCCCCCCCCCTTTTTTTTTACAATTAAAGTTACAGTTTTAACAATATGCAAAATATTACAGTAATTCAGATTTTTTGGCATAATGATTACAGATAAAAAAAGAAATTCACATGTCAAAGTCACAGAGAATTTCTTTTAACATGAAAAACCAAAGTAACACATCCCCACCAAATACCAATAGTCCT